CTGCAAAAATGGTCTCCCTTTCTCCAGAGGCGCAGCCGTCTTTCTGCAGTGCCGCCGGACAGAGACGGCCAGTCGTAGCGGGATGCGGAGCCTGTGTGCCCTCAGACAGGGTCCCTTGAGCTAAGGAGGACTCCGTTCGGAGGAGACCCGCTTAGGTTCTTGCTGCGGCGGTGGGTGACTGTAAACAGGTGCCCATGCGGTGAATGCCACGTGGTCTTCTGTGGAGAAGCCGGTGCTGTGCTTGGCGCAAGCCAGTCTGGTTGAGCTCAGGTACAAAGAGAAACGCTTGGTCATTGGGAGGGTATTGCCGCAAATGTTCCCAGGGGTGGCAGTCTGTGGCTGATGCGTTCCTAGTTACCTGTTCCTGAGAGAGGGAGAGGCATTGGTTGGGGGCTGGAAGGCAAAGGGTTTTTGGTTTTTTTGTAAGCGTTTTGTTTGTGAGTGTTTGGGGGGGGGTGCGGGGGACGTTTGGCACACTCCCGATAATGGCTATTGGCCCCTGCTTCTAATGTTATTTAGGAGTTTTTTTACTGAGTCGCTTCAGTAAGTGATTCAGGTGTTATTTAGGCGTTTTTTACTGAATCGCTTCAGAGAGCCAGTTTGGTGTAGTGGTTTGGCGTGCAGACTCTAATCTGGGAGAACCGGGTTTGATTCTCCACACCTCCTCATGCAGCTGCTGGTGTGACCTTGGGTCAGTCACAAGTTCTCTCGGAGCTGTTCTCTCAACGGCAGTCTTTGAAAGAGCTCTCTCAGCCCCACCTGCCTCACAGGGTGTCTGTTGAGGGGAAGGGGAAGGAGTTTGTAAGCCGCTCTGAGACTCCTTCGGGTAGTGAAGGGCGGGGTATAAAGCCAATCTCTATTTCTCTCTAATTTGAAATGTTTTTAATCGTTCAAACGTTTTAATGGTTGTTCTATGTGCCGCCTTTAGGGGTGTGCAAAAAAATAATAATTTCGCCCGATTCGGATTCATCCGAATCGGTCAGAATCAATTTCGGCAGAAACACTCCCACATGTCAATTTCAGCAGTAACAGCCCATTGGGGAGTCTTTTGCCAGCCGAATGTCAATTTCAGCCCCATTATATCCTATGGGCCATTGAAGTCAGTGGCGAAAACATAGGGTATATTCTGGGGGCTGGAGGGGGAGGGGCTTTGAAGGAGAGGCTCCAAACTTGCAGGGTAGCTGCTGCAACCTCTCCCCAGGATACCCACAAAGTTTCAATAACATTGGACCAGGGGTTCGATTTTTACGGGCCCCCAAACAGGTTGCCCCCATCCCCTCCATTGTTCTCTATGCTTTCACCATTGACTTCAATGGCCCATAGGATATAATGGGGCCGATTTGCCACCAAAATTCGGCAGCAAGCCGATTCAGATCAGAGAATCTGAATCGGCCCACAGCAGCCCGAAAGGGGCCCGAATGGGCCGTTTTGGGGGGTGCATTCTGTTCATATGAACCGAATGCCCATCCCTAGCCACCTTAGAGGCCCCAATTGGGTAGAAAGGTGGCATGAGATTTGTTTTAAAAGAATAATAACCACAGGACCACTCTTGAGTGTGTGCACGCTAAATCTAGACAGGTGGGTGGGATCAACCGGCCAAGTGGCGCGTGGCTGGGCCCCGCTCCCGAAAATCCCTCGAAATGTTCCGAACAAGTGAAAAGTGAGACTCCGTTGAGCGTCAGATTGCTGTGAGATCAATGGCTGCGAAAATGCCAAAAGAGTTCCGTGGGATTTTTTTAAAAGAAGGACTGCCGTTTCGTTGCGGCACAAGCGGTTCGTAGGCAAGCATGACCGTGTCAGCTTTTGGGGGGGGTGGAGGGAAGCTGTTCCGACACCCCCTTGGGCTTGCTATGGGGTGCCCAAGGGCTTTGCACCTGCTGTTCACCTCGCAGGCAGCCCCCCCCCCTACATGGCAAGATCTCAGGACGGACAGCGGGGAGGGCCGGCGGCAGAAGGTCACAGGGTGGGCAGGTGTGTAAACAGACGACGGCGGCTTAGGAAGAGCCCCAGGGATCGGGGCCTGTTAGCCCTTTGCTGCTAAGGCCCCATGCAGTGCAGCACATCAGAAGGACGCATTGACATCTGTCCTTCAAGCGGCAGCCTGACCGTGGACGGTGCCACGCTTTGGGGAGCAGCTTACACCCTAGAGGGGAGCTCTCTGTCTGTGGGATAGGAGTGGTGCATTGCTTGTCATTACCGGTATAAGCTTACTCGAGTCATTTCGCAGAAAAAGAGGTGCAGGAGCTCATTAGCATAACTCATTTGCATATGCCACGCCCCCTGGCATCACCGGAAGTGTGTCAGAAGGCAAAACCCACTGCTCAGGCTCCACTGGACTGTTTTGGATTGCTAGCTATGGGGGGGGGGGGGGAAAGGACCAATCTTTCTCCGGTGGGGAAGGAAGCACCAGCTGTTTCCTCTGTAGTTTTTGTCAACAGGAACAGTCGTTCTTTATTGTTCCATGGGAAGGAGGGACACGGGTCCTGTGGGTGGCTTACCTCGCCCTCCACCAGCGTGATTGCTGCTCCCAATGCACACAGAGAGCCAGTTTGGTGTAGTGGTTAAGTGTGCGGACTCTGATCTGGGAGAACCGGGTTTGATTCCCCACTCCTCCACTTGCACCTGCTGATGTGACCTTGGGTCAGTCACAAGCTCTGGCACAGCTGTCCTTGAAAAAGAGCAGTTTGTGTCAGAGTTCTCTCAGCCCCACCTACCTCACAGTGTGTCTCCTGTTGTGGGGAGGGGAAGGGAAAGGAGTTTGTAAGCCGCTCTGAGACTCCAAGTGAAGGGCGGGGTATAAATCCAATCTCTTCTTCTTCTTCTTACTGCCGGAGCTCTGCTCCTGTGCGCTCCTGCAGGAAATGACCCCTGAGCTTACTCTAGAACTTGCATTCTCCTTTGTGTGGGGGTGCTGTGTGCTGGTCGCTTCTGACTTAGGACGACCCCTGTGAGTGAACGTCCCCCCAAAGCGGCCTTGTTCAGGTCTCGCCAACGGTGGGCCCCCTGGCTTCCCTCGCTGAGTCAGTCCCTCTTTATGGAGCCCCCTCCCCTTTAGAGTTCCTGAGTTTGGCTGGCCGGGTTCCTTCTGCAGTTCCCTGGGAGAGAGACTTTGCCTGCAAACTGGGAATGCTGCGATGCAGCGAAGGCCGGGGCCCGGTTTCTGCTGCCTGGTAGTCATTGTCTGATGCCCTGGTGTTACTTTGGACGGGTTCCGGCAACTGGTCCGAATTTGGGGTATGCTGTGGTCAGGCCTCACCTGGAGTGCCGTGTCCAATTTTGGGCACCCCATTTTAGGAAGGATGTTGACAAGCTCAAGCGTGTCCAGAAGAGGGCAACCGGGATGGTGAGAGGGTTGGAATCCAAGTCTTACGAGAAAAGGCTGAAAGAGTTGGGTATGTTTAGCCTGGGAAAGAGAAGGCTTAGAGGGGACATGATTGCAGTCTTCAAGTATCTGAAGGGCTGTCATGTAGAAGATGGAGCAGATCTATTCTCTCTTGCCCCGGACTGCAAGACGAGATCTAATGGGTGGAAATGACAAGGGAGTCATTACCGGCTAAATATCAGGAGAAACTTCCTAACTGTCAGGGTGGTTGAGCAGTGGAACAGTCTGCCTCGGGAGGTGGTGGAGGCTCCTTCGCTGGACATTTTCAAGCGGAGGCTGGACAATCATCTTCCGGGTACGTTGTAGGGCTGTCTTTCGGCTGTGCTCCTGCAGAGTGCAGGGGGTTGGACTAGATGACCTGCAAGGTACCTTCCAACCCTAACATTGTATGATTCTACAATTCTATACAAAACAGCTCGTGGCTTTTGGAACAGGAGGGCAGACCCTGCTGCCTGCAGCGTCCTGCGGGGGGGGTCCATGATGAGGCCAGATTGTAGCCTTGTGATGGCAGATAAAGGACTAGATTGGTCCCCCTGTAGCTGGAGCGCTCAGAGGGGGGAAGCACCCTTCAGGGAGTTCCAGAAACCTTAAAGAAGATCCGTTGCCGTTCACAGGGCTGGTGGGATCGCAGGCTTGTGTCTGCAAGTCCATCTCTTGTTGCTGGCGGCTGCCCGAGAGACTGGGAACCAAACACTTCCCTGGGCATTCCGGCATCACGTTGCGCATTCTCCTTTTTTGTTGAAGGGGGTTGCCAGAGAACAGCCTTGACCCAAAAGGCCAAGGTGAGCCCGATCTCGTCACATCTCGGAAGCTGAGCAGGGTTGGCGGCAACGTTCCTTCCAAGCTGTGGACCCTTGTGAGCAAAAATTCTACTTTCTGAGCTCCTGGCACTCAAGTTGTGAGCGAACGATTGGGCTACTGCATCAATCAGTTTGCACTGGAGCCATGTCCTTCCCGAGCTAAGCCAAAGAAACGTGCGAGCAGGAGGCTAAGAAACAGTGAGCTAGCTCACACTAACTCAGCTTAGAGGGAACACTGGTCAACAGGGGTCATTTCATACAAAAACAGGTGCAGGAGCTCGTTAGCATAAGTCATTTGCATATGCCACACCCCCTGACATCACCGGAAGTGTGTCAGAAGAAGGCAACACCCACCACTCAGGCTCCACTGGACTCTTTTGGATTGCTAGCTATTGGGGGGGGGGGAACGTGCAGATCTGTCCTTGCAGAGGAGGGAGAGCTTGTACCTGAATAAAACCTGGTCTTAACGCTGCCACTGGACTGTTTTGGACCGGGGGGCGGCTCTGCAGGTTACCTGGCTGCTTCTTGCTCTGAACGAGGGCTGCTGGGAGCAGGGGGTGGGGCTTGTTGCATGTGCCCGCCCCCTGGGCTCTTTACTGCCGGAGCTCCGCTCCTGTGCGCTCCCGCAGGAAATGACCCCTGCTGGTCACCATAAGTTGGCTAGGATTTGATAGCATTTTCCGCCACCCCTAAGAGAGCACAAATCCCCCCCCCCCAATCTGCCTTGCCTCGGATGGAATTCTGCCTCGGATACCCAAGAGCTTTGCTTGCAGCCGAGTGCCAACCCCCCTAACACTCTCCCGCTTCTCTCCTTCCAGGTCCTGCGATGCGGCTGAAGCTCTCCGGCCACTGACCGCCGTGAGCCCCTCCGGGCCCCACTTCCCGAGCCGGCCATGTCGATCATGGACCACAGCCCCACCACCGGGGTGGTGACGGTCATCGTCATCCTGATCGCCATTGCGGCGCTGGGTGCCCTGATCCTCGGCTGCTGGTGCTACCTGCGCCTCCAGCGCATCAGCCAGTCGGAGGACGAGGAGAGCATCGTGGGCGAGGGGGAGACCAAGGAGCCCTTCCTGCTGGTCCAGTACTCGGCCCGCGGGCCCTGCACGGAGAGGAAAGCCAAGCTCACGCCCAACGGCACCGAGGCCCACAGCTAACTGGCGGCGGGGGAGAGGAGCGTACCCGGATGGCCGGGGCCGGAGAGGACCCAGGCGGGGGGCACCGCTCTGCCGAGGAGTCCGGGGTTTGAGGAGACATTTTTTGGCTACCTGTGGATCTGCAGTGCACTGAGGCGGCCGAGGTTCCCGGCGGCTGCTCCGGGACTGGCCGAGTCTGCTATCGTTTCCCGGCAGGAGGTCCGTTGCCGGCAGTGGACAGATGCCGGGGGGCGGCGGCGGCAGCGCAAACCGAGGCTGGCCCTGCCCGTTACTTGAATCCTTCACTGAGCCTCTTCGGGACGGAACCAGCCCCTTGAAATGTGAACTGAACACAACTGTGAACCTGTGTGCGCGCGCATGTACATAAATGGGGGCGGGTGGGTTGTATTTCGGGCCTGTTCCGCAGCATATGGGAGCGGCACGAATACCCTTCGCGTGAGCAGTGGTCTTGGGGTAAGGAGACGCATGACCGCCGATGGGATTTCTCCGAAACCAAGCCGGGGAGGGTGGGGAGGAGGGGGTGTATGTGGGCAAAACTTTTGTAGCACCAGGAGAGGAGGGGGAAAAAAGGGGCTTTTCCCCTTTCCCGCCCCCCCCCCCCCCGGGAGTCATGATGGCATCGTTGCCGGAAGGCTGCTGGGGGGAACAGCAGAGCAGGCCTGCTTCGGGGACCTGCAGCCCAGGGCAGGAAGGGCCCGTTCTCCGCTGAGCCTGCCCCCGGAAAGCGGCACTCGTGTACCTAGTCCTTGACTTAGCTGGCTGTGCCCAGGTGTGCCCACGGGCAACTGGCAGGCGGGGTCCTTCGTGGAACCGGCCCTCGCCCAGTCCGTCTCGGGGGTTTCTCACCGCTGCTGTATAGATCTCGGTGTGTTTTGTAGATAAAAAGACCGTGTCTTTTTTCCCCTTCTTTTTGTAAAGAGAGGGATTCTGTAAATAACTTTCAGAGGGGGCCGGGGAGGATGGTGGAGGGGTCTGTTTCTCGTGCCGGGAGGCCTCCTTCCTCCACTCTCGTTTTCTCTGTTCTGTTTCTGTTGGTGAAAACTGCATCTCCGGTCCTGCTGGCACCCCCCCCCCCCCCAGCAAAAAAAGGG